CTTCTTCTTCATATTTTTTTTTTTTCTTTTTTTTTTTTTTTTCACATTTGCGCTCAGATATTCTTGTGACAATATATACACTGACGTTGCTAGCTCTCTGCTTTTGTAGATGATGCGGCGAGCGTCGGACCTATACTAGCAGGCTCTTCTTTGGTTATGGTAGAAAGTATTTCTCGATTTTCTTGACAAAGCACATATGAATTCATTTGTGTTGAAGATAGCCTGAATCATCGTCCTATCATCCCACATTTTTTTTGTTGCTTATTCTTCCCCGTTGTTGTGGTGTTTCGTTTTGCGGGCCTATTGTATGGTTCCATTTTTTTTACTATGGATATGGTAGATTGGTTGTGGTAATCTTGTCTGCATCCCGGTTAGCCATATATGGATATGGTAGATTCGTTCTCGATTTTTTTGACAGTGCACGTAAGAATTCATTTCTGTTGAAGATAGCATGCATCATCGTCCTATCATCCCCCATTTTCTTGTGTTTCTCATTCTTCCCCGTTGTTGGGGTGTTTCGTTTTGCGGGCATACTATATGGTTCCGTTTTTTTTACTATGGATATGGTAGATTGGTTATGGTAATCTTTTCTGCATCCCAGTTCGTTTTGTCCCGTTATTCAGTCTAAGCAGGTAGCGATGCTTTATGTGGGACCATTCATCCGGGTTTTTTATTGTTTTGGCATCCTGGTTGGTTGTTTCTCGTTGTTCGGCCTTTTGGAATGTGGGGCAATGCTTGTATGTGAGAATTGTCATCCAGGATTGCCTTTTATACCACTTCTCCGAATTTTTTTTTGTTTTCTTTGCAGATAAGAATGTTTGGACATCCTGGTTGGTCTTGCCCCGTCGTTTGGCCTGTGGGCAGGGACGGTACTTGCATGTAGGACTTGTCATCTGGGCTCTGTTTTGTTGCCCCCTGTTCTGTATTATTTCTCTGTTCTCTTCCTTTTTTTTGTGCCTCTTTGCCTTTTGGTTGTGTGCAAGTGGGTCGATATGACACACGGGGGTGGGGGCAGCCGCCTCTCAACCTACATCCATGTGGGCGGCCTTGTACGCAAGAGGTTCAGAACAAGGGGAGTTATAAGGGGAAAACAAAATAAACTGAATTTTTTTTTTTTTTTTTT